CCTGAGACAGCGCTCCCCAGACCTGAGGAATAGCCCAGACCTGGCCCACCATCATCTGTGTTACCCCGCGTACCACGGCGCCAGGCGGCGATCTGGGGCCACTAGGATGACTGACAGCTGCTCCCGCCTCACCCTATCCAGGAGGGGGGATAAGGTGCAGCGGTGGAAAGGCGTAAAGCAGCTTCCTTGGCCATGGCTTGTGTGCAAATGCGTCCACCGACTCCACCCCCAAGGGCGGATTGTCCCACCGGGCCAGGGAGAACCACAGGGCACAGTGGCTGTTGCGCCGATTGGCGAACAGGTCCACTTCTGCTCTCCCGAACTGAGTCCAGAACTGCTTCACCACCTCCAGGTGAAGCCTCCACTCGTCTGGCAGGGGTCCTCCTCTTGACATGAGGTCGCCCCCCCCCCCCGTTCTCCCCGTCCCGGGATGTGCAGGGCCCTTGGAGACAACACAATCTGTGAAACCCACAACCACAGGTTCTCTGCCACGGTCAACAAGGCTATTGAGCGGACTCCGCCTTGCCTGTTGATGTACGCCACTGTGGTGCGGTTGTCGCTCCTCACTAGCACATGTTTGCCCTGTATTAAGGGTCGTCTCTTTGAAAACGGACATTATGGGGAAATGTGGAATGTGGAGAGAGATGACTCTTACTCTGGAATACATGCACTCGTTTTTACTGAATGGATTTTACACACACATATCACTCTAGAACTAGAGTTACACTACGTAACCCACTGTTCTTCTGCGGAGGTCCCTGAACACACCGCGGCCACTCTCACGGGGGCCGCGCCTCATAATGGGTGTCCAATTAACATCGTATGAAAACGGCCTTGCCGATCTCAACGAGACATTATGGGGAAATGTGGAATTGTGGAGAGAGATGACTCTTACTCTGGGATAAAAGCCATCGTTTTTACTAAATGCATTTTTCACACACACACACACACACACACACATCACTCTAGAACTAGGGTTACAATACGTAACCCACCGTTCATGGAACAGGGCCTCTTTTCGACTTCCTGTTGAAAGGAAACCTATCTCCTCCCAGGATGATAGATTTGACTCTCTATTGCCCCTGAATGGAGGAGGGACGCTGCAAAGCTTGAGTGAGTAACCCAGTCTCAGTGTCCTGCCCCTCTACTCTGTCAGTACACAGCTTTTGTGGGGCTTCCATTCCCCACAAAACTGTGTTCAGGGGACATGCCAGCAGCTGTGAAGCCAAAGCTAAGAAGCTGTAGTATTCTCTGGTGGCCTACTCCGCTGCCAAACCTTTACATAAGAAGGGAGTTTTGGCATGGGGGCTGACACAGAAAAGGGCCGATTTTCTACTGAGGTCCTTGAACGCACCGCGGCACGCTCCCGTGGGGCCGCGGCTCTGTCCTAATGCCGTCTCTTTGAAACGGACATTATGGTGAAAAGTGGAAATGTGGAGAGAGATGACTCTTACAAAATGCAATCGTTTTCACTGAATGCGTTTCTCACACACACACATCACTCTCTCTTGAACCCGCACAGTGTTTTGACAGCACTTCGGTTTATTCCACTCACGTGCACGCGCCCACCTGCTGGCTCCTATACTGGAGTTTACAGAGGGGGCGGGGAGTGTGGGACAGTGTTATTTCCTCTGGGGATGAGCAAGAAGCAGCCACGCTGCGACTACTCCTCACCAGTGGCGGCGCCAGAGATTTTCTCTAGGGGGTGCTGTGGGGTAGCTTGACGTTTCATAGAGGGTGCTCAAACATTTAGGGTTTCCCATTAATGCACCAGCGCTACAGTTGAATTTTCTACTGCAACACTCCCCACTCACACACACACAGTGCACCCGCGACTGTTACAATGAAGGCTCGATAATCAGCTCACGGCATATAGGCAGGGGTAAAGTGCTATTTTTACAAGTGGGGAGCGGACCTCACCTCCTCTAGGAGGGTCCTCACCTCCTCTAGGGGGGTCCGGGGGCTAGCTCCCCCGGGAAGATTTTTTGTTACATATTTAAGTTTAAAAGCATCAATCTGGTGCACTTTGAGAGCAACATTAAGAGATCTATGGATACATCTCAACACCCATACGAAACAGAACTGTCAACAGATTTTCTATTTCTTTATAGATATTTTACAAATCACATCCCCCTTTTAAAACAAACCGTTTGAGACCCACTGAGATAACTAGACTAAAGTTAACTATCTAAACACTGAGAGAGTCCTTTACTTCACCTGAGTTGAGGTTACCTGAGACTCTCCGTCTGACAGGAGAGAGTTTCTCCCTCCACCTTGTTGTTGAAAAAGGCTCTTTATATCCATTAGCTTGGCTAGCTAGCACCAGATGCTAACCAACAACGATCTCCGGTAGATACCCACTGGTGCGCGAGGCGAGCTCACACAACACACAACACACACACACACCACACACACAACACACCACACACCCACACACACACACACACACACACACACACACACACACACACACACCACACACACACACACACACACACACACACACACACACACACACACACACCACACACACACACACACACAACACCAGAGCAGGGCTTGAATGAAACACAGAGACCCAGAAGTAAGCTACTTGTACTCACGAGGCCTATTATGTGCAGAATCCCTCTCGCTTTCAGTTGGTTTTGATTGAGTGTCCACACGTGGTCGTTTAAGGACTAAAAAACGATCAATTTTTCACTTTGCTGTTAGCAAATCATTTTGGCGCTCTAGCTAACAGGAAGTCAATCAAGTGTCACAAAGTAATTTAGCCTATGGGTAGGTCAAAAATTGAATGGGTGCTGACCATTGGCCTAATCATATCACCTGTGTTGGCTTTATGTTTTTGGTCCAAAATGTGTTTGTTTCACATATGCATTGATGTAATCAATAATATTTCTAATTTAATTTAATAAAAATAATAATAATTTTCGAAAAAAAAAAAAAAAAACACATATTTCTTGGGGGTGCTTAGGGGGTGCTTTGGCAATCCTGGGGGGTGCTTCAGCACCCCCTAGCTCCCCCCTGGCGCCGCCCCTGCTCCTCACCCACGTAATCAAGGAGATCGATCCAAAGAGCCCTTCCGTAAACACGGGGGCTCCCGGCCCGGGAGAACAACAACACGGTCCTTTTGGAAAGTGCCATGCGGCGTGATCCCTCCACCGGTATATCACACGGCAGACAACGGCGGCGGCCACGATCAAGCTACAAATAATCGCTCTGATCTGGTGAGGTGGTGCATAGCTGAGCTTCCAACAGTGCGGTGAGTCCATTTTTCCTTCTAATCTTCTAATCTTCGTTCGTTTAACTCTTCGGTTGTCAGATCGTCTGAAGAGAAAAAGGATAGTGGGCGGCGGGTGTAGCCGCCTTTATATACTGTGGGCCTGTGCGCGCATTCAGGTAGGCTCGCCCCGATTGGCCGGCTACGTTTACGTAAACTCAGTAGGTGAAAGCACGCACAGCATGATAGAGAGTAGTACCCATAGAGTCCAGTAGAGGGCGGAGCCTGTGTGAAATATAACATAACTCCCCTCTCTCCGGCAGAAACAGGAAATGCCGTAACTGTATGTAACAACGGTTTCAAATCAGCATCTATTTGACAAAAAATGTAAATTAATAACTCGAATAAAACTCCAAACATCTTTAATTGTGTTACTTTTTTGTAAAGCTCTTTTAGTTTTAAACCTGATGTTTATAAGCTTCTTAGTTTTTGCAACAGTCTGTAAATATACACAACTTATAATAAAATGCACACATTTACCTTTTTTTTTAAACTAAACACAGTCCCATTCCCCAAACCGGCCCCCCTACACCCTACCCCTCGTTTGCGCGTTCACGCGGAGGGTCCGCCATATTGAGGGCTGTTCCAAAGCAACGATGTGTAGCGGTGTGGAGGGGGGAGTGGGCTATCAAGCCCTCAAACAGCGAGTCTGCAGCGGTGCTGACTTGAGACCGGTCTCTACCTGACAGGAGTCACGATGTGTGTGTCCGTCAGGAAACACGCTGTTTACAAGTAGTTCCAGCAAACATCCACTGATAAATTGCGATGTTAATAACCTCATGATAACCTCATATGTTTTTTAACTTAGGATCATACCTGTGTTTAGTCTAGAAAAAGGTAAATGTGTGCATTTTATTATAATGTTGTGTATATTTACAAACCGTTGCAAAAACTAAGAAGCTTATAAACATCAGGTTTTAAAACTAAAAGAGCTTTGAAACACAATGAAAGATGTTTGGAGTTTTATTTGAGTTATTCATTTAAACTTTTTGTCAAAGAGATGCTGATTTGAAACCGTTGTTACATACAGTTATGGCATTTCCTGTTTCTGCCGGAGATAGGGGAGGCCGTCCCAAAGCTTGCTGCTGTATTTACTCCCTCCATCTGACAGGAGGGAGCCTCGTTGAGCTGCGAGTATGGCTACAGACGGAGTTCACTCCATCACGGAGGGGTAGGGTCGAGGGAGTGGTTTGGGATTGGGCCACAGTATGATCCTAAGTTAAACACATAGGGTTATCATGAGGTTGTTAACATCGCAGTTTATCAGTGGATGTTTGCTGGAACTACTTGTTAACAGCTTGTTTCCTGACGGACACACACAGCGTTGAGACCGGTCAAGTAGAGACCGGTCTCAAGTCAACACCGATGCAGACTCGCTGTTTGAGGGCTTGATAGCCCACTCCCCCTCCACACCGCTACACACTCGTTGGTTTGGAACAGCCCTCAATATGGCGGACCCTCCGCGTGAACGCGCAAACGGAGGGGTAGGGTGTAGGGGGCGTTTTGGGAATGGGCCGCAACTTTTGCGGGCTTCACGTAACGCCCATATTTGCCTATAAAAGTCAAAGAAACGCCCCGTATTAATATTCATTTTGACTGACTACATGAAGAAGGAAATGAAATGAAATCAGATTGTGGCAGGCAGTGTGTCAGTGTGTTTGTGCCGGGGGCAGGAGACCCCCCCCCCCCATGACAGGAACTGTAAGAAAGTATCGGGGGATCCCTGCGGAGTGGAGTCGATTCATGTTTATTTTTTTATTTGGTGGTTTGTGTTCCAGCTGTCGATCAGCTGCGCAGCGTCTCCACTGCAGCCTGTGCGTCTCAGCCCCGCAGAAACTCTATCACCAGTTAAATGAAATAAAACTAATGTGTTGAGTTATATCAGCTGACAAATCTACCAAATATATGGTGCTCTTAGTCTCCATACCTCCTGTGTTTTATGAGCGACTTATCAAGTCTTAGCAAACGGCATAAAACATGATTAAACATGATATAAAACCATTCTCGTATACAACCTATAATACAAAACGGCCTCAGTTTAGACGTAATTCTGTCCTTATGCATACCGCATCATTTATGAGAATAAATGTCATAACATTAAGACAACATATTCGAGGTGGTTTTCAATAACATATCCTTATTTATTTCTCCAAGTTAGGTTTTTGTGTGCACTGAGGAGTCGCAGTTTGTTTAATAATTTTAAGATTGGGTTTAATCAATGTTTGCAAATGAATTATTGTATGATACATGAGAGGTAATATTATATTTATGGTATTATTTCCACATATTTCTCTCCATTCTTTCTTCCGCCATGGTGTCGTACTTTGTCGTCCCTCGCGTTTTTGTGCGTAGTGCGTATGCATGGGTCAGAGTTTGCGTGGAGGACCGCACATTTTCCCGTCAAGTTTGTTTTTTATAAATCGCAAACATTGCGTAGAAACTGGCGTACGCCATCTTTTGAGCGTACGCCACCGTTTATAAATGAGGCCCCCGGGCTTTACCATTAACAGCGATCGCTTTACATTACAGTGATGGACAAAAGTTTTTATTTATATTTAACTACACTGCCCCAGCTGTTTTAAAGACATTCTGAAGACTGACTCGCGCATCATTGATTTTTGTCTATTCATTTAATTTGTTGACGACAAAAATATGAAATATCACCAGCCTCATCAGTTAAAGTATATTATGTTGTAGAAAATATCTTATTTAAGAAAAAAGTAATGGTCCATGAAAATCCACACCCTCTCCCTTTTGTCTTCGCATTATTCTAACCAGCCAATTGTTTTTTTAGATGGCAACAAATTAGGGGGATTACTTTTTGCAATAAATATTTAAAGCTGACACTCATTTAAAATATACAGTTCTGCAATATTTTGCAAATGCTTTAACTTTGCTTAGTAAATTGCGTTTCATCTACACCTTACTGCTATTTACTTAAAAATATTACAATTGTCCCTGACAATTATTGTGCTCACACACACATACAAGTGTGTTTATATTCTTCACTGTGCTGTTGTATTATTCATAAGCAACAAAATGTAACCTACCATCGGCGACAGATGGTCTGGCGTATGTTCTCTACCCGACTGCCTCTTTGGACGCTGTACGCTCACACACACTTACTCACACACAAACACTGAGCCTAAAAGCTTGGAGACCTGGTGTTCCTCAGCCTCCCAGTGAGCCCATAACAAGAATGAGATTGACATTGTAAAGATTAACGTGGTGGCGTTGTGCAGACACAGATGGGCTCTCAGCGGGTCTCTAATGAAGGTGGTCTACTGTACTGTATGCGCAGAGTTTACTGTACGCTGCTCCACTTATTGACTTGGCCTCAGTTCAGGTCCCACTAAGATAAGTGCCAGGTGATGACATGAGGGCTGTGCGGGTGTGACACAGTTAGTTCTGAACCCCGTCGCTCCCAGCGAGCATGCTCCCTGCTGTGTGTTTTGTTATAGTCCAGAAGGGGCCGGGAGCCAAGAGGTACATAGACACATAGCGGCAGTGAGGAGGGGGCAAAGCTGTAAATAACAGATGGAAAAAGATAGCAGAGATCCACATAGGAGAAGAAGGAGTAGATGCTCAGTGAAAGGTGTTCTCCAAAGAGTTTCTGTACTCCCCCATTTAGCAGTGGAGAGTGTTAGGAAGGGGAGCAGACAGTGTTGGCTACAGTAGTCCAGTCTGGAGGTGGGTGGAGACGAGTGGTAGCACGGAGATGGGGAGCATCCAGTAAGAAAGTCCTGACCGTCTGCGTTCCCCAGAAGACCGTGTTCCCCCAAAGTAAGCCACCTGGGCTGTGGGGGAGGGAAGAATCAAAAGAGATGTCAAGCAAAGTTAGCCAACGTCAGCGTCTTTATGGCTAAAAGAAGAGCGCATTCACAGGTGAGGGTTAGTCATGCAGGACAACAGAGAGGGGACCAGTCAGAGGAATGTTAGCACCTCTAAGCCTTTACTCAAAACTAAAGTAATTAAAGAAGCTTCTCATATACGGCAGTGCTTCCTTTGTTCTCCTGATCTTTGTTATCCTGCTGCCCTGCCTCACTCACCCACGCAGGCTGACCCATCGTCGTTGGGCTCAAAGCCCTGGTTGCATCTCCTCTTGGCGCGGCACTTATAGCTGCCATAGGTGTTGGTGCAGATGGGGCGGTCAGAGGGGCACACAGTAGGAAACTGGGTACACTCATCTTTATCTGAGGGAGGGGGGAGGCGAGGGAAGGAAAGACACTTTTTGTCTAGTTTCAAACAAGGAAACATATTAGAGAGGTGAACAGATAGATATTTGCAGCTTACCTGTGCAGCGGCCATTCTCATTCAGAGCAAACCCATGACCGCACTGTAAGACACAGACAGTCTAGTTAGAAACAAGAATGTTTCTGAATAAAAATACATTTAAGCCTGTTCGATTTAGATTAGGAGATTATATAGATGGGTGAAAAATCTAGGAAAAACCTGATAAAATGATGAAATATTGTTTGATAGAATGCAGTTAATCCTCCCTGAGACTTGGATAATCTATGCTAATGAACAAACTGTTTTTGCAAAGGCTCAACACCGTACTGAAACATTTTATGTAGGTTTTCCCTTTTTAATCGTCACACAACCATTGCATCTTTAAATTGTTGTGATGGCATATGTATGTTTGTTAGATTTGTAGTTAAATATGCAACAACAAAAAAAACCAAGACTTTGACTAAGATAATTTAATGCAAGATTAGGTGATAGAGCAGATAATGTGCTCCATTGATGCTGCTGTTCTTTGACACATGTTCAATTTAACTGGCACACATAAGGTAACACACAGTATGTCTGAAGTCTATGTGTTCCTTTAGGCCCTATGGTGTCAGTGCTATTCTCAAATTACTTGTGTGACATTACCGATGGAAGGACCTAGAAGGAACTAATCCTTTTTGGATAACTATGAATAACTGCTTTACCTCTATTTCCACAGTAGGAGTGATTTCCTCCTCGTCTCTCGGATAGTGGATCTCCATCACTGTGTTGATGTCTGAAGGCTCCAGGGGTCGTGCTGATGAACGACCATCTGGCCAGTACACCTCCACATTGGTGGCAACATCCTTACCTGGTCAGACACACAACACACACAGAGAGGAACATCTAACTGTAGGTGCTTTAGTGATTCTTGAGAGCTCATAAAGCTTTCTCTTTCCTCTCTTTCTCACTGAAACAAACACAGTGAGAGACAGAGTGGCACCCTCCATTTACTATTTTAATCAGGCGTAGAGAAACCCCTCTCCAGACGGCCTCTGCAGCCCTTAATTAAAGTGGCATTTATAATGTAAACAGATCTCGAGTTACCTTGCCAGACAGTGATTTACTCAGCAGGTGTGCTGCCTGAGAGCCAAAGAATATTTCACCTGTTTTTCACCCAGCATGACACCCTCTATTCTAGTCGAGAGGAGTATATATCACATTTCTACCAGTAGTGACACTTTTTGCACGTGGTGTGGAAAGTTTTCACTTCTGTGAGTTATTTGGCATTAAAACTGAGTGCCTCGTTCATCCATGCTTGGACAGTCCTGATAAAGAACAGGTCCAGGAAGTAGCATTGGGCGAGCTACCAGGCCTGGATGACCACCAGCTGACATTTATACAGGGGCAGAAGAAGACCGGGAGCCAGTTCCTTACAACCAGGCCCGCTTCCAGCGGCAGCACCTGCTCCCCATCCCCTCAGCTCCCACCCACAGACAACTTGTTCCCCCATGGGTATCCAATCAGGCTAGAGGTATTCAAACAATGCTTTCCACATGAAGCTTTCATTTCCCTTCTCACTGAAACTCTGTAATGCTCATTCTGTCTGCCTATCCCTTACCCGGCTGTTGCAAAGAGAAGTGCTGAGGTTTAGTCAATTATTTGATCAATCTACAGAGACTTTAAATGGCGAACATTGGATGTTTCAAATAGATAATTTGCTGCTTTTTCACAGATGATTATTATTGTAAAAATAAATATCACTGGGTTTAAGGCTTTGGGGTTTAACAACATGCATTTCTAAGATTTCTTTTGCACGTTTAATCCCTGCAATAGTGTTATGTCATTTTAGTGTTGACAATTAACAACTCACCAAGGCCAAAGTGGGCTACCGGCTCCATCTCACACAGGTACCCTGAGCCACCGTCGATGATCCGTGTGTGCGGGCCGCTCTTTTTAGTGTACAGCACCACCTTAGCTCCTCTGGCAAAAGCACCAAACTTGGTTCTGGGAATCACCCGCAGCCAGGCGTTAGTGAGCCCCTAAAACACAGACAGAATGGGAAAAAGGGCGGGTTTGGGTTGAGATTACGTTACGAGTGTTACCTTATTTTAAAGATGTGTCAGAAACACTCACCTGGTTGACTTTGTAGACAGAGAGAGGCTGAGCTGCACTTTCACCATGAGATATCAGCAGCTCCAGACGCCCATCACCATCAAAGTCTGTGGCTACAGCTCCTGTATTAAAACACAATGTTTCAAATGTATTTATTGTTTTATTAGGCGCATGAGGAAACCCAAGTGGAGCTCTGCTGCCACCTAGTGATGAGAGGTTGGAGTAGCAGATGGGATGATGGTCTTTGATGGATGATTGACAGCTGTCTGTTCTCCTTCACTCACCGGTTCCCCGTCCTTCAGGCTCTGCTGCCTCTCCAATATTCAGCTCTTCTATCTGGGGGTCTCCATGCTCTCTCCTGCTCACCCTGTCAAACCAACAAAACATCAATTACCCATCAGAACACTGTAAAACACAAAGACCAAAGCCACTATAAATAATTAAGCAATGTTGTAAACAACCTTTGTTAGTTTTATCAATGTTATGGTATGTCTATTGGTTGCAAATGTATACTCCAACCCCACTATAGAGAAACGTTGCACTTTTCATTTCACTACATTTACTTGGTAACTACTCTACAGATTAAGATTGTACATACAATATAGTAAATTAGACGTTCACGAGCTACAACAATAAAATGTAGCTTACATTTTGATGCATCAGTGGTAACATCTAATAATGTAACAGATAATTATCCACCACTAATGGGTCATTTACTTCGGATTCTGATATAAAGATACCCAGCATAACATCCTCTCAAAACTAAAACAAAACACTACACACATACACAAGGGAAAAACATTACCTATTTACAGTTATTTTCAAGCATTATGATGGGCTTTTTTTTAATTAAATACTTGTTGATTCCTATTTACTTAAATTAAATTAATGTAATTGTAATCTCGCCAAAGTGCTTTGGTCAAAGGTGTCTTGAAGAGGAGAGGAGAACTACTGATGTTACTAATAATTGAATGCTAATGGGTCTGTGTTTCAATCCTATTGTGGGCAGATTAATATACTGGATGAGCTTGAGTTGAATGTCTTCAGAGAGACATTTGTTGGAAGAAAGCATGCATATAAGCTCTAGTGCCTCTACCTTTTGTGACAAAGCATTTCTGTATCCACGTTTCCTCAAGTTATCATTTCACTTCACTGTGCTTTAATGTGCTGATGCTGGATATTAAACCACTCAGCTCAGCTCAATATGGATTAGTTGTAACCTATTGAATAAATTAGCCTGGGCACACTAGTGTGAGCTTATTTTCAGTGCCAGAGAGTTAAATGAGCTGATTCATCTTCACACTCTGACAGTGGCTGAGATACAAGCTGTGGAGCAGTGACCTCTGTTGGACATCAGTGTGTCCTGAGACAAATCCTTTCCAGTATCTTGGCCTGCAGGAATAATCAGGAAACCTCTGGGGCTTACACTGATTATTGATATTCAGAATGAATTGACCCACCAGCTCATGGCAAAATTCACCATGACGTCTGCATCCTGTTCAGACAAACATGCCATATCAGATTTGTCTTCAGACATGGGTTTATTCTACTATTAAGTCCAAACAATTGATATGTATCATATATTGTGTTTTGAGAGCTGAGCTCATTAATGTTATCTAGAGAGGAAGCCTAACTCAAAAGAGACCTTAAACTGTCTTAATGAAAGATTCATTCATGTGCGGAGCAGGAGGCGGGATGCCAGACTAGATAAGTATCCTTGGCTGGGAATTTAAAATTATTCTCAGCTTCCAAGCCGGGTTTTAATATGGTGTATAAAGACACAAAAAAATGGTGTGTTAACCCGTATGATCACATGCTATTATTTACTATAACACATGTGTTTGTGTGCATGTGTGTGGGTGTGTGTATGTGTGTGTGTGAGTATCTTGTACATTTCAGTACCTAAAGAGCCTGTTGGCGGAGGGGCCCCTGTAGGCAATGTTATTGAAGAAGACCTCCATCTCGTTGTCGTTGTCGAAGTCAGCGGCCAGGACGGTGCGAACCGGTGACGGCATAGAAAACTTCTGGGATGCTATGTCCTGAAAATCACATTGTGCACCAGTGAGAGACACACACACACACACACACACACACACACACACACACACACACCACACACACACACACACACACACACACACACACACACACACACACACACACACACACACACACACACACACACACACACGTACACATTTAGACATAAAAAGACATGCAGGGATGATTTTCTACATTGGGAACGAGTGCTTGAATAGCCTTTTATAACCACATAATGATCCCAGATTTGAACTGTACTGCAGGTGTATTGATGACAAAATGTTTCTTCACAAAGCTGATCACATATTTGTGCATAGGCAGATTTGTGTCAGAGGTAAACTGGTTGGTTTCTTGTATATAATTCAGATTTTGTGTGTGTGCATATGTTAATCTGTTTGTCTGTATACAGCCAGTCTCCCTTTTTACATCAGCCTGATATTTTACTTGCTGATTTATGACTGTCTGCTCAAGGACCTTTCATTGATGTAGTGGTTCAGAATTGATTGACTGTTTTATCTTTTTTTAGTCTCACTGACACGATAAACAACTGCTTCATCTGGAAATCATCTAGGCTAAAAGGTCTATCATGTGTCTGTTTTTTTTCTCAAGAACCTGTTGTAATTATAGCTTGCATCCAATGTATGTTCATCCCATCATGAGAACAGGTGATGCAAGCTATATCTGTCAATAACCTGAAGGTCACATGTTCAATCTCCATAACATGTCAATCATTAATCAGAATCCAGTCCTTGATTTAGAAGCTAATCTGTCATCTGCTCACTCACTTGCTGAAAGTCACCCTGACTTAAAGTCTTATCTAATTCCTAAAGTTGAGAACAAAGGACTTTTTTTTATATACTCTTGCATCAGAAAGTAAACTGCACTTCTCCTCCCCAAAAAAATGTCTCCTCAGCAGAGGAGTTTTGCACAAGAAAGTAACGGATATCTCTCCGCTTCAGTGACACGGTGATAAGTCGGGGAAGAGTTATAGAGCAGCCCTTCACTCCCTCTAGTATTTACTCCCTGTTTTAATTATAAGGCTCATAAAGTCGGAGGTGGGGAGGGCCCACAGTGACCTTCTGCTTCTCAGGTGAAGGAGAGGGGATGGCCGACTGAGGGCCACTAGGGAGGGAGGGACGGTTCTACATTTACTATATTACAATGGGGATGAATAGAGGTGCCATAAGGAAAGGGAGAAAGAACTGTCACTGTAAATGTGGAGCTCAGAAACATGGGATTTACAGGATAAGAGGGGACAAAGTTTGATTAAAAAAAACGATATAACTGGAGATTTCTTCCAAAAAGGATTTTATAAATAAAAAGATATTGTGAATAAAATCATTATTATTATTCGTTTTGATTATCCACTTAAAATATACATAGTTTAATACATTATTATACTGTTGAAATCGGTTAAAATGATTGTGTGTATAATTATTCCCTGCTTTTTTTTATTTATTTGCACAATAAGTGAGAAATCAAACCTTTGAGAAGGGACCTTTTCCGTCTCTTTAAATACATAATACATGTGGGTGTATTTGCTCGCTTGTGAGTGTGTTAAACCTACTGAAAGGAAACCCTCGGCAATAGATTTTAATTAAAGCACAAACAGGCCTAATCGGCACTTTCTACGACTCAGGCAAGTTGCTGTTTCAGCCCAATTTAATTAACGGTTTACTGGAGTGATACAACAGCTTCATTATACATGCCAAAGGTCAACACGGCTAGTAGGAGTGTCAGCTCGGGAAAATGGGTCTTAAATATGTTGTGGGCTTGTGATTTAACAATCTTAGTTAAGGAAAACAACAGCTAGCTAATTTAATTGGTCTTCTGTGTGTGGGTGTGTGTGCGTGAGTCACTGATGGAATTGTCTCTGGGCTAAGCATCACACATTAACCCCTTAGTTGACCCCTATAAAGATGTCTGCTGTGACGTTTATCTCTGGTAAAAGATGCAGTCGCAGCTGCTGACAGATAGATCACCGAGCGCGAAACCTTCACAGATTCACACGCAGCAGAGCTTTTCTCTGTCTCTCATGCTATTACCATACAGGGTAACACATGCACACTGCTCTCCGTCTCACATGAGTTGTCTATACTCATTGATTGAGTAAATCACCATCCGTCCCATTTTAAATCCCACTCGATCCCAAAGGACAGCACTGACTCCTGCTAATTCACTAGCCATCCGTTGGCATTGATAACTCTCGTGATTCACAGAGTTAAGAGGTGAGACTTGCTGTCTTTGTGCAACTTGTTCATTAGACATTGATTCTGGAGGAAGAAGAAGAGAGAACTACAGCCTCACTCTGAAACTTTTCTACATAATTTACAGTGCTTGATATCCAAATGGGGGAATCACTCAACACAAAGGCTGTACATTATAAATAAGTGCTGCTGGTTACTCTGGAGTATCCACACAATTTACTGTGAGAAGTTATCAATGCAACCAATTTCTATCAAGGAAATAGTCCCAACCAAAACAAGTAGTCTACCACTATCTACATGGTTAGATTTCATGGGTTTTTTCACAACATACTGTATGCATTTCTTAATTCATGTCAACTGATAACAAAGGCTTCATTATGACATTGCTAGTGTAAGATTGTCCCTTTTAGCTTGATTAAAGCCAAAACTAAGACAATCATACTGACTTAGCAATTGGCCTGGCGTGCTGGCATGTTGAAAGTTATTAGAATTTGAACGTTTTCTATTATTTTAACTCTTCATAAAACTACTGCGGTATCTTTTGTGTGTGTAAAATGAACTTTAAATTAGTTAATTCCATTTATTAAGTGTTGCCTCTCTCTGATTTCACCTTCCTTCAAGTGTGTACATTTGGAACAGATTGATGTACTTGTAACACATCAAGCCATGTTTGCATGAAACAGGCATTGAAAGCTGTTAAATACCCAATAAACACATTTGGTCTCACCTTGAACTTCTGTTTGCGGTTATTCAGCTGCATGTAAAGGCGATGAGGCCCGTTCCAGTTCCCGTAGACGATGTCTGTCTTGCCGTCACGGTTGAAGTCTGCCAGAGCAACCCCTCTGCCATGCTGCATGGGGTCCTCCACACCTACAGGTATTTGGCAATGCATCAAACAATCAAGCCTTTCTTTTGTATTGTTTTTGCAGGATATGTCTAGAATTAAGACTATGATCTGTTTAGTGTCTGCACAAGTTTCTCTTACCAGCCTGCTGCGCCACATCAGTAAATGTTCCATCTCCATTGTTCTTGAACAGGAAGTTGGGACCGTACTCGTTGTCACAAAACACATCGGACAGGGATTGACTGACAATGGGCCCCACCACAACACCTCGCCCCCCTGCACACACACAGAGACAAGGCTCAACTGTAAGAAAATGAGTGAATCAAAAAGAGTGTGAGCGGACTTCTTCTTTTGAAGCAGGATAGGTGAGAAAACAGAGAGAACAGAGGGAGAGGGATCAACGCCATAACAAAACTGAACGGCGAGAGATCATTACTGCCTTTCCAGGCCATTTCCTCTAAGCAAGGCGGTTCTTTCTGCTGACACATACTCTGATGGGCTACAAACACACACACACACACACAAACACACACACACACAAAAAACCACATCTAGCTCAAACCAATAAAGACGAAACACAAGTCGAGAATCTTTTGTGTTAACCAAAAGCTAACAGTAATTTTCTTTTCGTGACTGTTTAATACACTCTCAATATCACCCCTGTATTTTTCAATGACATTCTATAAAGTGAAGTGTCTCATCTGAAACTCAGTAGGGCCTGGCTCATTTCGTGGCATCTGCAGGCAGTGGCAAGTACTTCCGGCATCTGCCAGAGGGCACTACTCCGTGGCATCTGTGGCAAGTACTTCCGGCAAATGCCACCGATGCCACAACTTGCCGAGGCATCTGCCGCTGCTCAACAGGAGTTGCCACAAGATGCCAGAGTAAGAGAAGGTTTACTGTAGCTGCCACTCGCCTTCCGTGGCAAATGCTGCTATTTAAACCCCGTATTTATCGTGTAAAATGTCGCTGTTTAGGCATGACTTTATCGAACTGATCTGTACACAGGACTGATGTGCGATCTCTATTTTTCAACAAGATTATACATTATCATTTCTATTCAATTTTACTTGGAGCATGGTTTGCTAAAATAAACAAACGTGCTATATTTATGATGAAATATTGACGAGTGAGGGTTGCAACGCCCTTGGCAATTGTCGCTTCTTGATGGTTTCCACTGCTTGCTACGATAAACCAGGTGTATTATGACTAGTAAAGACAAATAATTAACAAATACATATCTGTATTGACACAGCAACGTGTACACTGGCGTTATTAGACTTGGCTACAGACTTAGGGCAGCTGTAACTGATTGCAGTTGCCACTGCTAGTGAGATGTTTACTTTATAAATTAGGCAAAGGACAGTTATATTTGCCCCATGCCTTCAGCAGCAGCAGGCCATTCTTTCACACACACATACGGGTATTGGGCCGAGTGCGACACCGTACTTCCGGTATCCGCCGTTTTACGCGAGGTGCAAGCAGGCAGCCGTACACCGTCTAGGTGTTGCTAAGCTTCCTGTACTGAATATTACATTACATTACATTACATTGCATTTAGCTGACGCTTTTGTCCAAAGCGACTTACAATAAGTACATTCGACCAGGAAGACACAACCTTGAAGAAAACAGAATCATATAAGTATATCAGGTTTCATAGAGCCAAACATTTCAAGTGCTACTCAACTGGCTTTAGGTAAGCCAGTCCTTTATTAGTATATAAGTGCTTCGTTAATCGTTCTAACGCTCGAAGTGGAGTCGAAAGAGATGAGTTTTCAGTTTGCGCCGGAAGATGTGCAAGCTATCTGCCGTCCTGATGTCAATGGGGAGCTCATTCCACCATCTTGGAGCCAGGATAGCAAACCCACGTGTTTTCGCCGATGGGAACTTGGGTCCCCCTCGCAGCGAGGGCGCAACGAGTCGTTTGGCTGATGCAGAGCGTAGTGCACGCGCTGGGGTGTACGGTTTAACCATGTCCTGGATGTAGGAAGGGCCAGATCCATTCGCAGCACGGTAAGCAAGTACCAGTGTCTTGAAGTGGATTCTAGCAGTTACCGGAAGCCAGTGAAGGGAGCGGAGGAGCGGAGTGGTGTGGGAGAATTTAGGAAGGTTGAAAACCAGACGAGCCGCTGCATTCTGGATGAGCTGCAGAGGTCGGATGGCATATGCAGGTAGACCAGCCAGGAGGGAGTTGCAGTAGTCTAGGCGTGAGATGACGAGAGCCTGGACCAGAACCTGAGTCGCTTTCTGAGTCAGCTGGGGACGTATCTTCCTGATGTTGTAAAGCGTGTATCTGCAGCAGCGGGTTGTAGCAGCGATGTTTGCAGTGAAGGACAGGTTGTTATCTAGGGTCACACCCAGATTCCTTGCAGTCTGAGTCGGGGAAACAACTGAGGTGCCGATGTTGATTGTCAGGTCAAGAGTTGGACAATCTTTTCCCGGGAGGAAGAGCAGCTCAGTCTTGTCAAGGTTGAGTTTGAGGTGGTGAGCAGACATCCACTGAGAGATGTCAGCTAGACAAGCAGAGATGCGTGCGACGACCTGGGTCTCTGAGCGGGGAAAGGACAGAATTAATTGGGTGTCGTCAGCGTAGCAGTGGTAAGAAAAACCATGCGGGCTAATGACTGATCCGAGCGAGTTTGTGTACAGGGAGAAGAGGAGGGGACCAAGAACAGAGTATATCATAGTCTATTGCCTTAATCAATATCTAGTCAACTCTAAAATGCCACATATATGCAATGGCATGATAATATTATTGTGACAAGTGGGGTATTCACCTGGTGTTTCCAGAAATTAGACGTAGATGCAGCCAAAATCGACGAAGGCCACTTTCGAGGGTCGTAATTCCATACATTGTAAGGGAAATCCGACAACCCACACAGCTCTAGTTTACGCTGGTAACGACCTAGAGCACACCCCTCAAGTCCAGAGATGTAATCCGAAGACATGCAGCGATGTCTTCGGTCGTTAATTCAGAAAAAAAACCTAGTGCGCCTATATTTGCACTTCCAGGATATTTGCACCTCCAGGAATATGGCGTATTTATATATATATATGGCGCGTGTTGCATTGTGGGTAGCTCGTGACGTCACTGTGTGTGAAATAATTCACTTTGATATAGCAGGCCATTCACTTTGATTTTATCCCGTTATGAAATGTCATCATTTCGACAATAAATAAATGCTACATAAACGTTATCTTGCACGTTTTATCGAACCATCTCCGTTTCTAACTTTCAATATATTTAAAAAGAGATCTCTCTCATCTGCGTGCGGGGGCGGGGCCTCACAGACATGCTGCTGCGCTGTGCACACAGTTCTGCCGGTAATGAATATTATGATACATTTTGTGAGGAAACTTTTCCACCAATAATTCCAATAAGTATTCCAAAATGTATTCACTTCAGGTTTACGAAAGTAACTGTAATCAGATTAGTTGTTTTTCAAATGTAACGCGAGCTGAATACAGTTAGGCTACTTGGTTTTTGTATTCTGATTACGTAATCAGTGTACAAATCATCAGTCCTGTGTAGGCTACAGATCAGTTCGATAAAGTCATGCCTAAACAGCGACATTTTACACGATAAATACGGGTTTAAATAGCGGCATTTGCCACGGAAGACGAGTGGCAGCTACAGTAAACCTTCTCTTACTCTGGCATCTTGTGGCAACTCCCGTTGAGCAGCGGCAGATGCCTCGGCAAGTTGTGGCATCTGTGACATATGCCGGAAGTACTTGCCATAGATACCACAGAGTAGCGGCCTCTGTGGCATATGCCGGAAGTACTTGCCACTGCCTGCAGATGCCACGAAATGTGCTTGCTGTCTCTCCTGAAACTAGCAGAGTCTAATTATGGAGTTGAAAGGGCTTTGATTGCCCTTCCAGTATGCAGAGTCAGTGCTCTGCATCAAGACTTGCTCCTGATTTACTGGCCCGCTCCATCAGCCCAGACAAATATCACTCGCCCCCTATGGCCATAAACCACTAATATGTCTCTCCAGAGATATGTAACCATTAGATATACAACTTCACTGCCTGTCCCTCCGCTCTGATTAACGGCAGTTTGAGGACAAAGCCATCCACCGTACATCATTCACAGCGATTCTGGGCCGGCTCTCCCTGCCCCTCTGGTGGCTCGGATGACATCCTGCATGCTAAAAGATCCATTGAGGGAGAAGATTTATTCTGTTATGCTCAAATGCAAAGTCGTGTCCCATTTCCAAAATTTACTTGGACATCAGCGTCAAGGACTTTTCAATGGTTCAAACAAAGTGTTATGGAGGCAGCACTATTATCAAAGAAACAAATCATGGTAAAATCCTTCATTTTGGCATTTATTGTTCTCCTCTTCTATATCAAAACAGGTATCCATCACAGGGTTAAGTGAAGTGTTGATCCAGCTGAGCTGAGGTGCAGTGATGAATTGTAGTCCTGCTGAATATTTCAAGGTCATCCATTCAGTTTTAAAGGCATTTGAATGGCAGTTAATGTCTTTATTTTTGCTTTTGCAGCAAGGCAGCTTAAAATAAAACAACACCAACAGATTCAATCTTTGAAACAATAGCAGACATTCAAATGGTAAATACATTGCACACAATAAAAAGACAACAAATGGCCGATGAAATAAAAACTGCAGCATATCACATACAGTGCTAGGCTTTGGTCACGGTATATGTATATATGGACATGGGAACAAATGAAACTTAATTATTCAGAAACATATATCAACTTTAAAGAGACAATGATTTAAAAGTGTCATAGTATATCTGGCTGCTTAGGTTATCTTTCCTACAGGGAAAGCTGTTTCTCACCCAGGACTTTACTGGCCAAATCACCTTATAAACCAATCAGTGGGAGGATCAGGAGTGATACTTGGCCCAAACTGTAAAAAAATATCACCAGTAACTTCCTGTCAACCTCAAAAACATTTAATGCTGCAGAACATTCGGTCTCTGTTTCCCTTTATGGGATGCACAGTAAACCTTTGATCTTACTGACTGCACATAACACTCACTGTGCTGCAGTGACATCCACATACTTTTACTCACACCTTCAAAAGTCTGGGGGAACTACGTCAGGCTGTGATAGATGCCATATCTGGGCCCTTGAGCTGTTCTGATGTATGTGCGTATCGCCCTTCGCCTTTGCTTCCCTGTCACTTTGACTGGAGTAAACAGGTGACAGGGCCAAAAGAGCCCACTAACACTCTCCTTCTTCTCGCACGCTTACACTCATCATGTTCTCTTTCATCTCTTGCTTGTTCTTTTTTTTACTCACATGGCACCTCTCCAGCTCTCGCTTACTCGACTCCTGTCCTGCACTGAAGTCCTATATTTCAGAATCCATGGCTACGACAATGCTTTCCATGATATCTGTGTAAATCAGACTGAAGGCCCAGCACTGGATGAGGGTGCACACACACACACACACACACACACACACACACACACACACACACACACACACACACACACACACACACACACACACACACACACACACACACACACACACACACACACACACACACACACACACACACACACACACACACACACACACAAAAACTAACACACACACAAAAACACACACATATCTACCAGTGAATTTGTTGACACCGGCCTCCTCTGCCACGTTGGACAGGGCAATGACGCCCTGTGAAAGATCACTCGCTGCCTCGTCCATTTCAATGAGAGCATGAGGGCCCACGTTGCCACTGGCATAGTTGGCGATGTAGATGGCATAACGCCCTGAACCCTGGGTGGAAACAATAAATATAGTTACCATTTATTAATATACTTTACTTGTTTTTTTATATATATATATATACTCAGCATAACGATGAACCAGAAATGTGTAGCTAAAGGTGAGTTGATAATCAATTTTATTGATGGCTATTTAAACAATTGAACATCACCATCTCTTTTCTGAAACTATTTATTGGTTTCTCCCGATAAATCAGATTTCAGTGTCGACAAGTTTTATAATAAATCATTTTTTCACAGTAACAAGGACACTGTTTCTTTAAATACACATTGCTGCTTGTTTTCTCATTGTCTAAAAAGACCAAACCCATAAAACCTGTTAGTCCATCTCTGAATACTTTCCAACTTCTTAGACTTGTCTTTGGTGCTCTAGCCTGTTAGTTGAATACATTTTGACAACATGTATTTATTATTTTCCTATCTTGGTGAATAAAATGCAGTTTCACCTTTTCCCAATGAAGCCTTTTCTTGCCTCTTTATCTTCCTTTACCCTGTTTCCTATCCTCTACACCAGGGGTCTCCAACACGTCGATCGCAAGCTACCGGTAGCTTGCAAGCTCTCAATAAGTAACTCGCCAAGCAAATCCAAAATGTAAAAAATATACAAAAAAACAAAGGAAATGTAATTAAAAAGATCTACCCTTTGCATAAACGAAACCTCAATCATAGCGAACTCTATCTACTTTGTTTCTATAGGTAAATACAAATCTGAGTTGACAAATATGACATGTGGGGTTCCTCAAGGCTCCATCTTGGGGCCTCTTCTCTTTAACATCTACATGCTACCACTGGCTCAGATAATGAAAAACAACAAAATAAGTTACTATAGCTATGCAGATGACACACAAATGTACATAACCATTTCACCAGGAGACTAAGCTCCAATTCAAACACTGAGTAAGTGCATTGAACAAATCAATGACTGGATGTGTCAGAACTTTCTCCAATTAAACAAAGACAAAACTGAGGTAATGGTCTTTGGAGCCAAGGCAGAACGTATAAAAGTTAGCGCTGAGCTTCAGCCTGCAATGTTCAAAACAACAGATAAAGCCAGAAATCTAGGTGTAGTCATGGACTCTGACCTGAGTTTCAACAGTCACATTAAAACAATTACTAAATCAGCCTACTATCACCTAAAGAACATATCTAGGATTAAAAGACTAATGTCACAGCAGGATTTGGAAAAACTTGTCCATGCTTTTATCTTCAGTAGACTGGACTACTGCAATGGTGTCTTCACAGGTCTCACTACAAAATATATTAGAAAGCTGCAGCTGATTCAGAACGCCGCTCCTCGAGTCCTCACTAACACTAAGAAAGTGGATCACATCACTCCTGTTCTGAAGTCTTTACACTGGCTTCCTGTGTGTCAAAGAATAGATTTCAAAATACTGCTGCTGGTTTATAAAGCACTGAATGGTTTAGGCCCAAAATACATTTCTGATCTTCTGCTAAATTATGAACCATCCAGATCTCTCAGGTCTTCAGGGACTGGTCAGCTTTCTGTCCCCAGAGTCAGAACTAAACATGGAGAAGCAGCGTTCAGTTATTATGCTCCAAATATCTGGAACAAACTCCCAGAAACCTGCAGGTCCGCTACAACTCTTACTACTTTTAAATCCAGGCTGAAGACTTATCTTTTTGTCGCTGCTTTTAATTGAAACTGAGCCGTTGTGTTCATCAGTAAAGTGGAACTTCTGTGTGAACTATTCATATCTTAAACTGCACTGTAACTTTTTATTCATGTACTTTTTATTCATGTATCTTTTCTTTTAATGTGTCTTTTATTATCTTTTACTGTTTTTAAATGCCTTTGTCTGAATGTCTTTCATTTTTGTAAAGCACCTTGAATTGCCTTGTGTTGAAAGGTGCTATATAAATAAACCTGCCTTGCCTTGCCTTGCCTTGCCTTGCCTTGCCTTGCCTTGCCTTGCCTTGCCTTGCCTTGCCTTGCCTTGCCTTGCCTTGCCTTGCCTTGCCTTGCCTTGCCTTGCCTTGCCTTGCCTTGCCTTGCCTGCCTTGCCTTGCCTTGCCTTGCCTTGCCTTGCCTTGCCTTGCCTTGCCTTGCCTTGCCTTGCCTTGCCTTGCCTTGCCTTGCCTTGCCTTGCCTTACTTACTACAACTCTATATCTATCTAACACCCCTCCTCCCCCCAGAATGAAGATCTGGCCCTTCCTACATCCAGGACATGGTTAAACTGTACACCCCAGCACGTGCACTCCGCTCTGCATCAGCCAAACAGCTCGCTGCACCCGCACTGCGAGGGGGACCTAAGCTCCCAAAAACACGTGGGTTTGCTATCCTGGCTCCAAAATGGTGGAATGAGCTCCCCATTGAAATCAGGACAGCAGAAAGCTTGCACATCTTCCGGCGCAGACTGAAAACTCATCTCTTTCGACTCCACTTCGAGCGATATAATTATTAACAAAGCACTTATATACTAATAAAGGACTGGCTTATCTAAAGCCAGTTGAGTAGCACTTGAAATGTTTTAGCTCTATGAAACCTGATGTACTTATATGATTCTGTTTTCTTCAAGTTTGTATTTTGTTGGTCGAACGCACTTATTGTAAGCCGCTTTGGATAAAAGCGTCAGCTAAATGCAATGTAATGTAATGTAATGAATATCGACCAATCACGTTCTTGCTTGATTTGCAGGACCAGCGTTGCAGTCGGGAAGAAAAGCAATGTGGAGCGGCACCTCACCCCTTCATAAGGTGATTTTCCTTCTGGCAGAATCGACACAACAAATCAGCCCCATTGAACACAGCCAGTCGTGCCAGCCTACATGTATACAGCACATGAGGGGCAGAGTTTTACTGTGTGTGTGTTGCAACTTGACGCACACATACGCATGGCGTCATTTCCACTGGGGACAGGGGGGACATGTCCCCCCCACTTTTCGAAATCTCGTTTGTGTCCCCCCCACTTTACAAATATGTTTATTGTTATTTTTTAACGCAAACCGTCATCGCCACGGAGGAGCACACAGCCTCTGTGATCGAGCGAGAGAGCTAGAGAGAGCACACCTTTATCTATTTAATATAGTTGTAAAAAATAAAGTAAGAAATCATTCCAATGTGTACTATAGGACAGTAAAAAAAAAAACAGTTTAAAAGGGGAGTGATTAGTAAAATATGCATAAATAAAAAGAAAGAATGCTAACTAGGTAACATAAGATAAGAATAAACAAGTTTAAATGATTTGTTATTGGTTGTGATCATATTCTAAAGATTTTGGTATATAAGTATACAGCTCCCTTTCATCTGAGTGTTGAGAGCTGTATCCATACATTCATTTTGTGCTCAAAGTGCACCAGATTGATGCATTTAAGTTCAACATTTAAAAAAAAATCTTCCCAGGGGAGCATGCCCCCGGACCCCCCTATAGGGGGTGAGGACCCCTCTAGAGGATGTTAGGTCCCCTCTAGAGGATGTGAGGTCCACCCCCAAATAAAGCAGGTTCAAATAATTAAATTGCATACATTTTCTTTTAGTAAACACTGAAAACGGGTCCCACAGACCCAAACAGCACACAAAGGTTAAAGGTAAGCATACAATAATGTTAAAATGTGCTAAATATATACACTGCAAAAAAAAGAAAAGAAAAAGAGGAGTAAAAGCAGCTCATGACTTGTTTTATTTTTTTAAAGTAGCTCTCATCCTAAAAAAGGTTGGAGACCCCTGCTCTACACCCTTCCTCTCAGCCCCTCTCCCTGCTCCCTCCTTTGGAGATTAATTTCACACTCCATTATCAGTCAGAGTCCCTGCAGACACAAACTCACAGACGGAACCACACTAATAGACTACACACTGGATTCCAATGAGCTTTCCCACCAAGCCTAACATATTTCAATCAATACACACACCATACACGCAATTTCACCATTTGTGTTACCACTACTATATTTTTACAAGACAAGAAAAGTAAATGAGTCTAGTTGATGTAAATGTCATGAAGCGTTACACATAATGGCTTGCTGAGGTGGGAGGAGGGGTTGCAGCACACACACACAAAATGAGAATGAACTACAATAAAAGACCTGAAGGCCACTGGCAGTTACTTAACAAACTTAAAAGTCAACGATTTTTCAATAAGTCTCTACCCAAGGCTAATTTCTGTCACTGGAATTGGCTTTGTGAATAGTGTGACATGCATGCCTGGAAAGCGCATGCTGGTGCGTGGAGGTGTAAGGGGTTGCGCTTTAAATCAGTCTTTACAGCTATCACTGAAAAGCCTGAAAGATCTACCACCACTAATGTAGCATTTTCTTTTTTGTGTTTTTAAGTGCTTTTTATCAATTGTGTTTGAACTACTTTGGCTTTTACAATCCACCTGTTTCTAAAAGCTGCATTCAGCCTGTCAGTGCAAAGTGAGCCGATCCATCCGTTCAATGCGAGATACTTCAATATGTCACTTTCATCAGTTTGTATAAGACTAATGATGGGACTTCACTTTCAAGGAGACTGGGAGGGATGAAACGGCCGGATGACTAACTATCTCTCTTTTTTTTCTAAATGATAACACTTTATTCATGAGTAAACAAGAACAAACACATTAGCTACCTAGCAAACTAAACAGCATGCCTTGGTTTTGGCCTTCTGCCGTCATTCCAAATCTGGTTTTATAAAACTTGTTTAGCAAGAGGAACATGTATTCTCTCTCTCCATCTGTCTGCTGGTACTAGCATGGAAGAAAACACATCAGGGTTTTGGCTTCCTCTAAAAGCATTATGCCATTAAATGCAGATATCTTTCCAATCGGTTTGGCAGCTGCACAACCTATCAGTGTTCAGTGAGATGGGACAGTGGTTAAAAAAAATCTATTGTAATCCCTACTGTCCTCTTCCAGCTATCACTTTCTTTATCCCTTCCCCTGATTAGAAGTGAGAACTCCATGCGTGTGTGTGAGATAAGAGACAAAGAGAAAGTATAAGCGTGTCAGAAAGAGAAAAAAAAGGGAGTAAAGGAGGTGGAAAGCGGCAAGAAAACAATGGGAAAGGGTCTGAGAGAGAGAAAATGCTATAGGCAGAAAGCAGTAGTGTGCAGTCATCACTCCTCCCCTCGTACGATGTTCTATAAAACAAACGAGCCCTGGCTTCTGTAATTACACTGGTGCGATGGACAGAAGAGAGAAAATGGCACACCATTTCCCCAAATGAACTGTCATAGCACATGCTGAGAAGGGCGGCGTAGGCAGGGCATGAGTTATCACTGGTAAACAAACAGAAGCACCCATGCATGTACACAGAAGACACTCTGGGGAGTTTGTATGTGTGTGTATCTGCATATGCTCTACTTTGTGTGTTTTTGTGTGTGTAATACCTTCCTGTCCACACAGGCCACTGAGCGCCCAGCCATACGGTTGGCCACATCTCTGTGTTCGTTGATGTCATCGTTCAGCAGATCCTCAAAGCGTCCATTGCGGAACTTAAACAGCTTGTCAGAATATGTTGCTCGACCTTGTTGAAGAAAGAAGAAGAGTTCATGAGAGTCAAAGATTGCTCAGAGAGTTAAGAGGTGTTATGAACTGAAGAACTTGTTCCATCTGAAAGTGACCTCTTCAATTTTTACAAAAATCTGAGTATAGTTTTGGCAGTGTGTGCTCCGTAGCTCTCAGATTGATTAATAGCAGCACAAAGCTTATCTGTTAACTGATGAAGACTCAGATGAGATAAGCTGCATACTGATTCTCCTGCTTTGTCTCTGTCCAGGAGAAAAGGCACACCCTTGTGAAAGTGTATCCTTGTGTATAAAAAGCATGTACTGTACCAGAGAATGCGTTATTGGTGTTTAGCACATAAATCTCCTCCCGACCATCTCCATCGATGTCACACGCTGTCACTCCGATGGCGTTGCCTTGGCGGTCTCTCAGGGCGTAGAATGGGGAGCTACGGTTGTCGACAGCGATGTTGACAAGCCTTTTCTTCTGCTTGTCGTACTTTAGCACCAGGTTCGGGCCGTTGAAGCTGTCAACGGGCACCAGAGGCATGGCTGTTACATGTTCATTCATTCATTTTCCTGGTATTTATTATAGTGAGTAATTGCATGTATGTTGCCTAAAATACCTAAAAACATGTTTATATTTATTTATTTGTAAGATTTGCTTGCTCAAGAATATGCTTGTGCAGAAATGTGTTGAAAATTAGGGATTAGAAAATCCTTATACTGCATGTGGAACAATCGGTATTATTACAACTTGCAGGGCTATAACCTGAATTTGATAACTAAATAACTGAGCTTGCAGTCAAAATGTAATTTGTTTAGATGTTTAGGTTTAAAAAAACAACCTATACTTTCTTCGTCTATTGTATAATCCATCCATTGTGTTTGAAAAATAATAGTGTAGTATAGGGATGCATTTGTAACATTTCTTTAAGTGCTTTTAAGTGCTGAATAGCAGGGTCATATAAACTAAACCACTCTGTCCTAAGATTCTTTTATTCCCTAATGAAATTACATCCTCCATGACGTTTTATGATTCTTTCCTGCCCAAAAATACCTGCTGAATAGGGTGTCTTGCATAAATGACATTTATTAAACAGGGTCAATTTAGTCCATCTATATTCTGTTAAGCATTGGGAAATGTATTGCTGCTTCACTGAATAGTGGGAGGCTTGCCAAACTGTTCCCATCAATGGCACTCTGTCCAATCACATCCATTTCTATCAGCAGAGTGAGCCTTAGGGCCTACCATCTCTCGTCTTTCATACTTTGCCTTTGTCTTCAACCTTTAACTTGAACATGACAGTGTACTTTTCTTTTAGCCTCTGATTTGGAGTAAGATAAATCTTGATAAAAACTAACTTTGAGTAAGAACAATCTGTATTACACAACCGCCCCAGCCTTTCTCACCCAGCTACAAAAATCTCCAGGTCTCCGTCCCCATCCACATCGGTGACGGCCACGCCATAGTTGAGCTGGGTGGGGTTGTTGTCATAGTCGGGAGGGAGGACGGTCTTGGTTATAGCTGAGAACATGGGCTCTGATCGCTGAGCCGAGGAGATGGAAGGCAGGAACAAAACCAGCCACAACAACATCCTCACCTGAAGGGGAAAAAACAGTGTTTGCAATAGAAAGGTAGAAGGGCATCCATCAGGCTGCTTAAAAAACCTCTGCCACTTATACTCAAATCTATACTTATTACTCAATGAGCAAAAGAGGAGAAATAATGTGTCTAAAATAAAAGGTAGAACACTGCTGCTGTACACTGGAGAAAAACAAACACCCGCATGACCATCACAATTCCTATGCAGGAAATTCACACACAACACTTTTCTTTTGAACTACTGCACACTTTTGTCTGGGCAGATGAGGCAAATGAGAATAAAATACAAACTGTAAGTCATACACTTGCAAACTGCAACACATGCCCTTGTTGCCTATTCTCTAGATCCATCGCGAGGCAAACATTTTCGGATCATTGGCAGAGCTTGCTCCTGTACTCAGACATAAAGATGAAGATATACCACCGCAATCAGCAGTGTTCTGCAGGGTTAGATCTGAACAACCCATCACAGGCAGACGGGCTGAGGAATTACAGGACAGAAAATCCATACATGGAGCAGGGCATTAGCCAGAGGCCAAGTGAACATAGAGGAAACCAATATGACCTGATATAACAGACCTGAGGTGCTGTTTCCTCAGAGACAGTGACCAACGCTGCGTTAGAAAAGCTTTTTTGAGGATAAAAGGCTTTCTGATGTAAAGGTGTCCTTTTAGTGGTCAGAAGATAAAAGGTGAACATAGAGGAATCAATCCAATCGACCGCCGAAGTGCAGGCAGGTAGTAGTGGGCTTTCTGAAAACTGAAAAGAGAGAAGAAGAAACCGCACTGAGGGGAGAAAAGAAAGAGAAAGGTCACCTCATTAAGGCTTAAATAAAATGCTCATCATCAACAGCACTGCAAGACTAAACACACCCACACACATGCACTGAATGGCGTTTACAAGCTGACAACTTGATTTGCTCTGCCTGTGGATTTATGGAGGCAGCCCTATTCATAGAGCTCATTCCATCTGTAATGTCATTGGGCCATTCCCATCTCTGCTTGCATACTGCTTCAGAGTCTCTCTTTTTTTCTCCAAGTGTCCAGGTGATGTATGGCTCTTTAACATCTCCCTCAACAATTCAATTTAAGATAAAAACCGCATTGCCGTTTGAGTTATACTCTCAAAGGCACGTCGGCAGGGAGAGGAAGCACCTTCGCTGACACCTGCAGAAATATGGCCCCGGCTAATGCTAGCTCTGCTGGCAGGCAGCACAGTGATAACGCTGGCTGAGGAGCTGGTAGCGATGTAGACTGTGGCTGTTAGCAACAAGGGTTAATTAACAACACCGGGAGCTCGAGATGAGGCAGTTTCTCCCCATTAGAGCAGGATGTAATGACAAATGGGCTAAGCCAGTCCAGACTACAGAAAGCAGCTTTAGAGACTTCCTCATATACTCCATGTTAGATAGTGTCAGCAAGCTATTAATTCAAAGGGGAGGAAAAGAACAAAAAATAAATAAAAGTGTGGGGGGAATGGGTATACTCTTTTCTTTAATGTAGAAGCACTCGGAGTCCTTTTATAATATACATTCAGAGGACAAGGCAATATTTGATGTATTAAAATAATACACTCACAGGTGAGCAGCTGAACTTTAAACAAATATAGATGTATATTAAGACGCTTTATGATGATGGTTCTGCAGCATCATTTAGATCAACACATAGCTGAAATTGAAAATAAGTAAAGTATTCAAAAAAATTCAGCCAAACGAAGAAATACTTATTAGAGCAGAAAGAGCAGATTGAGACCATTGGGGACCGGCCTGATAAAATGGCAAGGCAATACATTAGCCAGTCAAGGACACACAGTCGCTTTGCCCCATTCACTGCAGTAAAAACCAAGACACTCCACTTGAGTCGCCAATAAAGTTGCAATGTGACTTTTCTATGGGCGACAATTCACAAAACAATCATTGGGGTTTTATAATATCAAATATGCAGGGTCAACAACAATCTGTCCCACTATAAGAATAGGAAGCATCCCATAGTCATTTGTAGTAACAGCCATGAAATAGCATTTGGGGAAAAAAATGCCGTTTGATGCAGAGAAATGTTTTCGATTTAGTTATTTATGTTGGCATTAAGAGGCCATTACGCCAGCGTGCAACATCAGCATGTGCTTTCTGGAGCGTTCAAGCCCGAGCTCTGATCCTGATAACACTGCGACAAAGAGCCAGCAACATCTTCAGTTTTAAAAACACGCTTCCAGAGGCTCTTCTCTGTGAAGGACACCTTCACTGCAGAACACACACACACACACACACACACACACACACACACACACACACACACACACACACACACACACACACACACACACACACACACACACACACACACACACACACACACACACACACACACACACACACACACACACACACACACAAACACACAAAGTGCTGTACCAGTCCCAGTGAATTACACTTAGCAATCACTCTGAGCAATCAACAATTGCCATTAGTGTAAAGCTCCAGTTTATCTCTCATTTACCACAAAGAGGATCAGACAATAACACACTTCATTCCAGCTAATATACACTGTGCAACAACTCAATATAATGCTTCATCTGCTGCATCACAAAACCCAACTCACTTTGTTTCAAACTTTTTAAATGTCATGAAGATGATGAACAAATATTTTGTATAGTTGTAGATGTTTTTATAAAAGTCACACCATTTAATTCACCAATATGATGCATTGTAATTAATCACGTTTGGATGTGGTAATGCAAAATATCTATTTATACTATGTTGTAGGCTACATTTCTCCAATTTAATTATATTAAATTCACAACTCTAAACAAAAATAAGTTCAAAATCAAATAAGCTGAGAAAATAACAAACAGGAAAAATGTGCAAACATGTGAACACATTGCAGGTCACAAAGAATAATCATAAAAACTGCGGTCTTCTTTTGTTTCACACTGCTCATCGGCAGTTTTCTTAAGTGATCCGCTCTGAGTGAAGCAGCACATACTCCGTGGTAGTTTCTGCATGTGATGATAAAACAGTATTATATTAGTCTACCAGGTGTCTGACCGAAAACTGCTGGAAAAGCGTCCTAATCTGGAGTTATAATATTCTCAGAGCAGAAAGTCAAATCCGGACGGAGATTAACTTTCTATCGCCTCTCCCTGCAGCATATCCCAGCGGAGCCTACAGTCTGAGCCCAGAGGAAGGTATCAGCCTCAGCAGCAGCAGAACTCAGGTACTCACAGATGCAGAGGCGCTCGGGAACTCCGACAAATCTTCCAGCGATTGACAGCCAGGGGAGAAGAGAGAGAGAAAAGGAGATACCGACAGCTAATTGTGCGGTTGATGCCGCAGTTATCTCAAGGGTTTTTCCCACTTATTCCCTTTACACAACTTCCAAAAGATTTGCTTTATGAAATCACTTGTGTGATATTTGAGCCAATCGCGGGACAGCCTACGAAATATTTAAGCCCGTAGCCAATAACAGCGCTTGGAAGCAGGAGGTGGGCGTGTCCCCAGGTGCTCATTGTGGTCTGTCAGAGGGGCGCAGCTGGGATGTGGATGCGGAGCCTCCTGGTTCAGCTGGGATGCCTCCATCCATCTAACGGAGTTCAGAAATAATTAGTTTAATTCACCATAAATCATATATACTTGAATCATTTAATATACTTTTTAATTTATATATCTTTCGTTAAAAAAAATGTGGCATGAAAACGATTTGAGCAATAGATATCAGAGGTGTAAGAAATAATGTTTTTCATTTATACCTTCGGGTCAAAGGTCATTCTGAGGGGTTTTCCGGGGTAAGATCTTGATCCATAAACGTGTATTGTGATGTAAACCATGGTTTTAATAATAGTCGGCTGGCCACTCCATGCTCTCTGCACTCATATGTGTTGAACTCTGGCCCCTCCCACTCTAAAATCACTGCAGCCTGTAAACAAAGCATTAGCCAGCACAATATTTTCAATATCACAAAAATAAATCTTCAATTTGAAAAATGAACATACTTTTTCATATAGTCCAAACACAACTTGCTGACCTTTTAATCTGACCAAAGTAGTTAATGTAATTAAATGCACACTTACTAATGAAACTTTTTATCTAAATAGAACCAGAGAGCTGTTTCAGCTCTTTTCATGTCAAGGGAATACAACTGCATCACATTTGCATGGAGAAGAGCAACAAGCACCCATAGCAATGATGCTCAAAAATAATAAATAATGATGTGTTCTTTGTCAAAGTTGGGTGTTCTGTCTGATAGCAGTGTGTGTGTGCTCTTGGGCGTGTGTGCTCGAGTTTGCAGGTTTACTGCTGCCAGATGTATAATTCTTATGTCATGCTCCACTGAGTACAGCCTCCCTGAGACCCCCAATGAAATGAATTGTGTGTGAGAGAGTTGGTGTGTGTGTGTGTGTGTGTGTATATATATGTGTGTGTGTGTGTGTGTGTGTGTGTGTGTGTGTGTGTGTGTGTGTGTGTGTGTGTGTGTGTGTGTGTGTGTGTGGTTGCGCACAGCTTGGTGAAATGAGATGTTCACATCCCAAGGACGTCTCCCACCATAATTTAAACTCACTGGTGCTGGAAGACTTCAAACTGAATGTGCTGAAGTCATAAACCAGTGCACTTCTGTCTTTACTGTTATTGTCTGTGATCTACTGGTGTAAATCCACAGGCAGGTGGCTGTGACTCAAACAATGCAAATACTACAACAGAAATGTCTCCATGCTGTGATTACTGCATATTGGCTGCCGGCTATAAAATTATGTTAAAGACCTAAAGTGAACACAACTTTTAGCCTTCCTACTTTGATTGCGCTTGTGTTGCAGTTTATCGCCTTGATTTACAAGTGGCAGAGTTTTCTCACACGGTCACAAAATGTAAGAGAAAGAGAAAATCCTCGGGGCTTGACGTACTGCAGCGCATACCTTTAGCTATTTACACCCTGATCTACAGTCTCCTACAGCAGAGACCCAACTGTTTTTATTTATGAGGGGACAAAGAGGCATCTATCA